AGTAAAGCAAAACAATGTAGCACTCTGCATGGTTTTCTCCAAAGCATCAGTTTTATTTCTGATAATAACTTCTTCATTAAAAACTGTTGGTGTTTAATATTTTCATGACTTTTTCAACAAGAGAGAGATTTTAGGAAACTACACAAAATTTCCCCATAGTCAAATTCGTGGAAAGCGATATAAAATGTAAAATAATAACAATACAAGTTAATATAACAACTGTAGACTTTATTTATGAAAAATAAAATAAACAATGAAAAGACTCTAAATGTTGGAATATTTATTGTTTATGCATTTGCCTTAATTTATAGCAAGTAAAGCAAAACAACATAGCACTATGCATGCTTTTCTCCAAAGCCTCGGTTTTATTTCTTATAATAACTTCTTCATTAATAATTGGTGGTGTTTAATATTTTCATGACTTTTTCAACAATAAAGATGTTAGAAAACTACGCAAAATTCCCCATAGTCAGATTCGTAGAAAGAGGTATAAAATATAAAATAATAACAATACAAGTTGGCATAGCAACTGCAGACTTTATTTATGAAAGATAAAATACACAATGAAAATACTTTTAATGTTGGAATATTTATTGTTTATGCATTTGCCTTAATTTCTAGCAAGTAAAGCAAAACAATGTAGCACTCTGCATGCTTTTCTCCAAAGCATCAATTTTATTTCTTATAATAACTTCTTCATTACGAAACTACGCAAAATTTCCCCATAGTCAGATTCGTAGAAAGCAGTATAAAATATGAAATAATAACAATAAAAGTATATATAGCAACTGCAGACTTTATTTATGAAAGATAAAATACACAATGAAAAGACTCTTAATGTTGGAATATTTATTGTTCATGCATTTGCTTTAAATTATAGCAAGTAAAGCTAAACAATGTAGCACTCTGCATGCTTTTCTGCAAAGCATCAGTTTTATTTCTTATAATAACTTCTTCATTAATAACTGGCGGTGTTTAATATTTTTATGACTTTTTCAACAAGAGAGTGATGTTAGGAAACGACGCAAAATTTCCTCATAGACATATTTGTAGAAAGCGGTATAAAATGTAAAATAATAACAATACAAGTTGGCATAGCAACTGCAGTCTTTATTTATGAAAGATAAAATATACAATGAAAAGACTTTTAATGTTGGAATATTTATTGTTTATGCATTTGCCTTAATTTATAGCAAGTAAAGAAAAACAATGTAGCACTCTGCATGCTTTTTTTCCAAAAATTAGAATTATTTCTAATAATAACTTCTTTATTAATAGTTGGTGGTGTTTAAGATTTTCATGACTTTTTCAACACTAGAGAGAGATGTTAGGAAACTACACAAAATTTCCCCATAGGCAGATTCGTAGAAAGCGGTATAAAATGTGAAATAATAACAATACAAGTTGATATAGAAACTGCAGACTTTATTTATGAAAGATAAAATACACAATGAAAAGACTATTAATTTTGGAATGTTTATTGTTTATGCATTTGCCTTTATTTATAACAAGTAAAGCAAAAAAATGTAGCACTCTGCATGCTTTTCTCCAAAGCATCAGTTTTATTTCTTATAATAACTTCTTCATTAAAAACTGTTGGTGTTTAATATTTTCATGACTTTTTCAACAAGAGAGAGATGTTAGGAAACTACACAAAATTTCCCCATAGTCAGACTCGTAGGAAGCGGTGTAAAATGTGAAATAATAACAATACAAGTTGATATAGGAAATGCAGACTTTATTTATGAAAGATAAAATACACAATGAAAAGGCTCTTAATTTTGAAATATTTATTGTTTATGCATTTTCCTTAATTTATAGCAAGTAAAGAAAAACAATGTAGCACTCTGCATGCTTTTCTGCAAAGCATCAATTTTATTTCTTATAATAACTTCTTCATTAATAACTGGTGGTGTTTAATATTTTTATGACTTTTTCAACAAGTGAGAGATGTTAGGAAACGACGCAAAATTTCCTCATAGTCATATTTGTAGAAAGCGGTATAAAATGTAAAATAATAACAATACAAGTTGATATAGCAACTGTAGACTTTATTTATGATAGATAAAATACACAATGAAAAGACTATTAATGTTGGAATGTTTATTGTTTATTCATTTGCCTTTATTTATAGCAAGTAAAGCAAAACAATGTAGCACTCTGCATGCTTTTCTCCAAAGCATCAGAATTATTTCTTATAATAACTTCTTCATTAATAACTGGTGGTGTTTAAGATTTTCATGACTTTTTCAACAAGAGAGATGTTAGGAAACTACACAAAATTTCCCCATAGTCAGACTCGTAGAAAGCGGTGTAAAATGTGAAATAATAACAATACAAGTTGATATAGCAACTGCAGACTTTATTTATGAAAGATAAAATACACAATGAAAAGACTCTTAATTTTGAAATATTTATTGTTTATGAATTTTCCTTAATTTATATCAAGTAAAGAAAAACAATGTAGCACTCTGCATGCTTTTCTACAAAGCATCAGTTGTATTTCTTATAATAACTTCTTCATTAATAACTGGTGGTTTTTAATATTTTTATGACTTTTTCAACAAGAGAGAGATGTTAGGAAACGACGCAAAATTTCCTCATAGTCATATTTGTAGAAAGCGGTATAAAATGTAAAATAATAACAATACAAGTTGGCATAGCAACTGCAGACTTTATTTATGAAAGATAAAATATACAATGAAAAGACTTTTAATGTTGGAATATTTATTGTTTATGCATTTGCCTTAATTTATAGCAAGTAAAGAAAAACAATGCAGCACTCTGCATGCTTTTCTCTAAAGAATCAGAATTATTTCTTATAATAACTTCTTTATTAATAACTGGTGGTGTTTAAGATTTTCATGACTTTTTCAACACTGGAGAGAGATGTTAGGAAACTACACAAAACTTCCCCATAGGCAGATTCGTAGAAAGCGGTATAAAATGTAAAAATAATAAAAATACAAGTTGATATAGCAATGCAAACTTTATTTATGAAAGATAAAATACACAATGAAAAGAATCTTAATGTTGGAATGTTTATTGTTTATGAATTTGCCTTAATTTATAGCAAGTAAAGCAAAACAATGTAGCACTCTGCATGCTTTTCTCCAAAGTATCTGTTTTATTTCTTATTATAACTTCTTCCTTAAAAACTGTTGGTGTTTAATATTTTCATGACTTTTTCCACAAGAGAGAGATTTTAGGAAACTACACAAAATTTCCCCATAGTCAGATTCGTGGAAAGCGGTATAAAATGTAAAATAATAACAATACAAGTTAATATAACAACTGCAGACTTTATTTATGAAAAATAAAATAAACAATGAAAAGACTCTAAATGTTGGAATATTTATTGTTTATGCATTTGCCTTAATTTATAGCAAGTAAAGCAAAACAACGTAGCACTCTGCATGCTTTTCTCTAAAGCATCGGTTTTATTTCTTATAATAACTTCTTCATTAATAACTGGTGGTGTTTAAGATTTTCATGACTTTTTCAACAATAGAGATGTTAGGAAACTACGCAAAATTCCCCATAGTCAGATTCGTAGAAAGAGGTATAAAATATAAAATAATAAAATTACAAGTTGGCATAGCAACTGCAGACTTTATTTATGAAAGATAAAATACACAATGAAAAGACTTTTAATGTTGGAATATTTATTGTTTATGCATTTGCCTTAATTTATAACAAGTAAAGCAAAACAACGTAGCACTCTGCATGCTTTTCTCCGAAGCATCAGTTTTATTTCTTATAATAACTTCTTCATTAATAACTGGTGGTGTTTAAGATTTTCATGACTTTTTCAACACAAGAGAGAGATGTTAGGAATCTACAAAAAATTTCCCCATAGTCAGATTCGTAGAAAGCATTATAAAATATGAAATAATAACAATACAAGTTGATATAGCAACTGCAGACATTATTTATGAAATATAAAATACACAATGAAAAGACTCTTAATGTTGGAATATTTATTGTTCATGCATTTGCTTTAAATTATAGGCAACTAAAGTAAAACAACGTAACACTCTGCATGCTTTTCTCCAAAGCATCAATTTTATTTCTTATAATAACTTCTTCATTAATAACTGGTGGTGTTTAAGATTTTCATGACTTTTTCAACACAAGAGAGAGATGTTAGGAAACTACAATAAATTTCCCTATAGTCAAATTCGTAGAAACACTACGCCAAAAATGATTTTTTGTATCACCTAATTTAATAGCACTTTTAAAAGAAATGCTATTAAAATGGAAAAAACACATTTATAATAGCACTTTTTAATCGGGCGCTATTATATAATACAGACTATGTAATTATGATAGCACTTTGTACCAGAACGCTATTATTAAACTTCTTTAAGATAGCACTTTGTATAAAACGCTATTATTTGACTACCTATATAATAGCATTTATTAAAAAGCGCTATCTTATATATAATAATGAATTAATTAATTAATTGATAAAAAAAAAAGTTATTTCCATTACAAACCGAAACAAAATAAAAAAACACAGGAAGGAGATTCCAAATCCATTACTTGACTGGCCTCCGACGACACGCCGGCGACCGCGACGACAACTCAACTGCTTCTGCAACAGCACAATATCGACGCACTCCGGCCCCCTGTAGCTCACCGGCAGCCACCACTGGGCGTTCGACTCCGACCTCCATCTCCAGCCACTCTCGGTTTTGCTTGCAGGTAAGCAATTTTTTTCCTCTATTTTCTCGATTTGTTGTGATTGTTGTTGGAGAACTTAAATGCTTGATTTGAATCTTGGATTTCTATTTTGTTGTTGTTCTTATTTTAAGAGAAAGATTGATTTTGTTTTGGGGTTGAAATGGATGAGAGATAGAAACCTTACCACCACCACAGAGTAAAAACCTTACCACCACCACCACCAATCACAACAAATCTCAAGATGTGTGCATTATAATTTGTTAAGTAGGTGACAAAACCTTACCACCACCACAGAGTAAAAACCTACCAAAGCATCAAGGTGACCAAAAGTTACCACCACCACAGAGTAAAAACCTACCAGATTCAATTCTACTTCTTAGCATCACCCTGTCAATCAACAAGCTCTCAGCTGATGATTGGAAACTATAGTCACACATGTCACCATAACTTGATCTCATACTTGGCAACTTTGAAACACTTTTTTCAAACTTTTTTATGTATTGTTGGATATCTTGTTGAGCTGTAGTGCCTTCAGATGGTTTCTGTGCAAAGGAGAAGCAGTGTTTAGAGTCAGTTTCTTTGCTATCAGCAGTTGAGCTGACTTGTTCATGGATAGCTTCCTCGGAATCAATGCTGGCTGGTGGCTGCATTGTGTCATAATGGATATGGTGTGATTGTTCTCGAGTGCCGGATTGCTGCAAAAATGTAAAACATATAGATTATGCAAGAAAAGAATAAAAAGATGCACTTGTTAAGTAGAAAGTAAATTACTGACGAAATTTGAAGGCGGAGTATTTGAACTTGCCTCGGTTAAACGAGATGGAGTAGGTGGACCAACCATACTGAGCGGAGGATCCTCTTGAGATGAAAAGTCCGAACTATCGAATGTTGATAGTGATACACACTCGTCAAAATAAGCCTTGGCATCTTCTGCAAGACGTTTCGACATCCTTTTTCTTTCAATGCTAGACTGTAACCGTGTTTTGGATTCATCAATAATGGGATAGAAACATCTAATGTAACATGTGGAGTAAATATAATGTGAAAGGAACCTACTTTTCTTGATGGACGAGACTTTGGTATATTAGGAGTCTTGGGATATGGAAGAACTTCTCTCAAGATTCTATCCAGTTATCTCACTCGATGTTCTTCAACTGCCAGATCTGCTCTAAGACGTCTAGCTCGCTCTTTGGCCTGTAAATATGACAAGTTCTGCTCAATATAAAAGAACGAGACGTTAACCATACTTCATCTTCAAGTATAAATGGGAATACTACCTCTTCAAGCTTTTTGGTATACTCTCTTCTAGTCTCCAATGCTAATTCTATTGTACCAGGGCTTAGCAAGTCAGGATGAATATCAGCCATATCGGTGACAGTAACGGCTGTAGCGTTACTCACTTGAATAGCCTAAAATTCCCGAAACAAGAAGCAAGTTAGAGAATAGCATAGGATGAATCACAGTTAGTTATATCAATAGGCAGTTAACTTCAAGCTGGCAAGGAGAAAGTTATAGTCTCATGAAACTTACACTTTCGAGGTTAATCTGAATCTCAGAAATAGCCCGCCTAACTTCAGAACGAACTGTTTCATATATATCACTGCCTCCTAGCTGATCCCTTTGTACTGACTGCACAAGTCAAAACAGGGCGACTTTATACAAAAAAGTCAATTTCAAGCATACGTAGATAAGAGTAGGACTACAACAAAGAGTAAAAGATTTCCTATAGAAATACAACCTACATTTTGTACACAAACCGCTTTGATAGTTTTCTCATCACAACCAAATTTCCTGTCGCCATTTTGCACCAGTTTAACTTTTTCCTGCACATTACCAAAACTGTTTTTGTTCCACTCTTTTAGGTTAGCTTTAAGAATCCTCAGATTTTTGTCTAAAACATACACGGGACAGCCATACACTTTGGAATGCCAAGTTTGAGAAACGAGATTCAAGCAATCTTTGTGAAGGGTCCACATATTCATGAATTTAAAATTAGATGTGACTTTAGGATCATTATACTCGAAGTTTAGAAGTAGGGGATAGTGATCAGACTTGTTTTTGACAAGAGTATGGCAGGATGTTGAGGAGCAAGTATCGATCCAATGGAAATTACAGACAGCTCTATCGAGCCTTTTCTCAGAATGCTTACGGCCCAGGGGTGCTTACTTGGCCACTCTTAACAAAACAGTAGGGGTGATATTAGACTTACAAAAGCACCATAAGTTAGGCAAAAGATCATGCGTATAATTCATGGCAAATAGCTTAAGGTTGAGCTTCTTAAGCCAAGTTTGAAGGAATTTAGAAAAGTCCATCCAAGGTTCTGCTACCAAAACCAAGTCTAGATTGTTAACAGAAATTAATCTTTTGAGAGCAAGTCTGGAAGAGGCATTTGCAATTCCTCTAATATTCCAGAATATGCACTTCATGAGAAAGGATTAGATGTACTAGGTTTATCCCTAGTTAATTTCTTCTTCTTGGATTTTTTCGAATTCCTTTTTGAACTAACAAGTTTGAAGCCATCTGTTTCCAAACTCACCTCCTAAGCAGCCATATTCGCCCATGATTCAGATAAAAAAATTTGTATGTTGCTGTCATTTCCTTGCAGATTGGGTTGTGTCTCTTCCACTCTTAATTTATTAATAAACAAACTATTTTGGGCTTTTGGGTTATGCGCAATAGCCCGACTTATACACCCTCAAAGACGGTTCTTTTTATTGGCATTTTATTTTCATAAGAAGTGCTTATAGATAAACAAGTGATGATAGAACCTACACTTGACATCCATTCAGTGACTTCTTTGATACCACGATGCTGAGAAAGTGCAGACTTGTTGGTGTGGCAACAGTTGAACCTATTGATGATTTCATTATGAATTCTTTCCTTGGTCTACCAACTGAGTGTCTTGCTGAATTAAATGCTGTCATCTTCATTTCTTCTACATCATAAGAGTTGAGGTTTCATTGCAAAACTAAATACAAGAAGATTAAAAAAACATAAGACAATAATGAGTTGTATTATACTAAGATAGGAATATGTATACCTAGAGACATGACTTCTTATTCATGGTGACAGAATACTCAATATCTTCTTTACTGTTTCCAAGTTGCAAAATGTACCTATTTTCTTTGCCAGCCATAAAATTTACTTCAATTTTCTTAAAAGGTTTTGCTATTCTAAGAGTACAGGTTAAGAATATTATAATTAGAAAACATTAAGTAAAAAAGTATTTCTACAAATAATTAATTAGTCTGTGCCCTTAAAAGATGGATAGTTTTCTTAATAATGGTTGGTTATGATTTCTACAAATAATTAAGTAATCATATAATATTATATTCTAATGATTTCATATTTCTTTAAGACTATAATTAATATTTATATTTTATATATGACATACTGTGTTTTTATCCTGAGATAGTAGAATATAAGTCCACTTGGTTGATTATTTTTCAAGCGTAAAATTTAGTCTTCTAAGTCCACCTGAGCCGGATAACAATCAGGTCTAGATTTTAGAAAGTAGGAAACTATCCAATGTACCAAACTCAATCCTCCACTTGTAACAATGCAACTAGTGCAAAGGCATTTCATTACCCTACATTCTATAACACTTCTCTTGTACATTTTTGGACACCAACACCAAGGTTATAATGAAATTATAAAATCTTCCTATTCCAAATTGTAATACCATTTTATCAACATAAGATGAGGTCTTGTACACCAAAATTGCCATAAAACATTAATTACATTTCCTTTTCTTTTCTTTCTTTTTGGTTGTTTCTCTTTGTTGTGTGATATCTTCTAAACAAAACCAGTATCCCCTTCTGCATTCTCCAAGCCAGAAAATCTTCCAGCTCCATGTCTCATGTATTGCTATTTGGTATAACAGTAATTACTAACAAGACCTTCATAATAAATTTATTCAAATGCAAGCCTTTGAGTGCCAACCAGTGAAGCATACTGGCCCTTTTTAGCCAACAGCTCAAAATGAGTGCCTAGTTCCGCAACCCTCCCACCTGAACAGAGTGCAATTTGATAAGCATTTTGAACTGTGCTTAACCTGTGAGCTATGACTAATGTTGTCCTCCCCTTCATCAAATGGTTGAGAGCATCTTGAACCAAGCGTTCACTGACGGTATCCAGAGCACTTGTAGCCTGCAGAAGCAAATAATATCAAAATGGATACATCTTATATGGATTCAGTCAGTGTTGTCAAGTACCAACTATAACAGTGCTATACCGCTGTAGTGTAGGGGAGTTTTTAACAAACCTTCTGCAATACACAATTTAGTACAACAATTTAGTACGTGTTGTTAAATAACAACTATAGCACTGTAATCTAGTGGAATTTGAAGAAACGACTTTTCTTTGTGATCTGCTATAGACAACACTGGCTGCAAAACTAATCCACCGGTGTAGCAAGTTTCTGGTATAGCAAGTTTCTCACGCAACTCCACCGGTGTAGTATGCACACTCAGCCGAATCACCCCAAGGCTGCTATTTTCCTTCATATATCCTGCTCAAACTCAAGTTCATCATAAAGTCAAAATCAAATTCATAATCTCATATGGATCATAAAGTCAAAATCAAATTCATAATCTCATATGCTATATGACTCTTAAATACATAATTTGGTTGTTAGAACCAATTTTTAACTAGTTATATATGTTACTTGTTAGGAAATATGGATCGAAAATGGATGTTTGCCAATCGAGCGTCAAAAGAATATGAAGATGGAGTTCGTGAGTTCGTTAGGTTTGCTATTTCTCATGCTGAAGACACTAGTAAAATCATATGCCCTTGCTTAGAATGTTGTTATACGGATGTTAGTGCAAATGTTTTGGAAGATCACTTAATATGTAATGGAATTGATAAAAGCTACACATGCTGGATAATGCACGGGGAAAAAAAAACCAAGTCCACAAAAAGGAGCAATGGGAGAGATTCATCAAATGATTTTGAAAAAGATACGAATTATGCGTTTGATCGAGTTGAAGAATTTGTCAATGTAATTGAGGAAGATCTTGCACCTTGTAATCTAGGGTGAGATTTGTATTCAAAAAGTTATTAAATTAACGAGAAAAAACTCTAATGAATGTGAATCTTTAATGCAATATTTAAATGTTGGGTGCAGGAAACATTGGGTGTTGCTTGTCATCAATCTCAATGCTGAGGTGATATATTACATGGATCCGTTGAATGGTGAGCCAACAAAACATCAAAATTTTAAAACAAAGTTTGAGAAGTGAGTATAGACTCTTTTAATTTAAAATTTATGTACGTATTATTATTTATATAATTACTCATTTGAAGTTAATTTCATTTTGTTAGCGCTTTGCAAATTTATCGTGCTAATAGTAGTTCTAAAGTGCCTAAAGTGTCAAAGTCAAAGAAAATCTCATGGCAAAAAATAAAGGTATGTGTCTAAATTAATGTTATTTTAAAACAATTATGTGGAGTAAAATTAATCGATATAAATTTTTTTTTTGTAGTGTCCTCGTCAAATTAATGGCGTTGATTGTGGATACTTTGTAATGCGATTTATGAAAGAGGTCATCATGGAAAATGAATTTATGATCCCCACAAACGTACGTGATTTTAATTATTATTATTATTCTTTTGTAAATTAAATTAATATAATTTAATTCTAACACGATTAATTGTTGATGTTTTCATATTTGAAGTACTTTTTTGACCACAAATGTCGTACCTACTCTCATGATAAGTTAACTGAGGTTAAGGAGGATTGGGCTACTTATGTGGTGGATGATGTTTTCGGTGAGTTTTTCCTTGACTTGATACTTGATAAACAAGACAAATATTACTCATGGATTTAGAGTTCAAATGTTTTGACTTAGATGTTTAATTTTAATTTTTGAGTTGGATTTAGAGTTGTCGTATAAATAATTTTAGTATTTTATTGGTTTAGAAGATATGGCACAGAGGTACTGAGTGTTCTTTCTTGGTCTCGAATTTAAATTTTGAAATAGGAAAATACGGAAAAATGACTTATATCTTATTGTATGATTGATTTATAGTTTTCCGTTTCTATTTGAAATTTTTAGATATTCGTAGTAACAATTGTAAGGTGTTTGATATCTAGTTCTGGATCATGAAAAGAAAGTTACACATAATTAAGTGTTTATGTATATTTTGAGAATTTGAATTATATTCTGTTTAGTGTTTATATGCATCTAATAATGGAAATTGTGGTCTATATATTTACAAGTCATGTTCTTGTTAGACTTAATTAGTTCAATTATTGCATTAGTTATATCGATTTATTGTTATTAGTTTATAATAATCATTCCTTATTTTATGCGCTTCTTGTTAGACCCATATTAAATGTTTGATTATTCTTTATATGTTGAATTAGTTTTTATTGTACAATACATAATTAATATTCCTTCTATGATACAGGAAAACAAGAAGCAATTATTTTGCCTAATTAGTGATTGTATCTATGAGTTCAACGCTTTTGGATCATGAAGGTGGTTACTACATGGGATTGTTTTGTTATCCTTTCTTATTTTTTTGGTGTTTTGTTTAGAGAATTTGATTGTATGTTTTTGGATTTGGATTGAAGTACTCATAGATGGGCATCTACAAATTTGGCTATGCAAACGCCCTCTTAATATTCTATATGTTATGATATTTGGAAACAATAGGATTTGGTAATTTAAAATGTTATTTGGTATTTGATGGATCATAATATATATGCAATGAGTAACTTAAAGCGTTATTTGTGTTGAATTGAATATAGTTATTTTATATTTACACCAAAAAAAATGATTGTATAAGAAAAAATATTGTACTGTACTTATTAAAAATATTGTACCAAATATGTACCATTTATTAGCACTTTATTTGAAAGTGCTATCAAACATATGTTATATATTAGCGCTTTTTGTTTAGAGTGCTATAAAAAAACAAACAAAAAACATGCAAAATACTGACTTTGATAGCACTTTAATTAAAATACTATTATAAATTGGTACTTTAATAGCGCTTTTAAAGTGCTATTAAATAAGAAATATTTACAATAGTGGCGCGGTTAATAGCACTTTTAAGCGCTATCAAAAACAAAAAAAAGCGCTATTAAATAGCTTATTTGGCGTAGTGAAAGCAGTATAAAATGTGAAATAATAACAATACAAGTTGATATAGCAACTGCAGACTTTATTTATGAAAGATAAAATACACAATGAAAAGACTCTTAATGTTGGAATGTTTATAGTTTATGCATTTGCCTTAATTTATAGTAAGTAAAGCAAAACAATGTATCACTCTTCATGCTTTTCTCCAAAGAATTAAAATTATTTCTTATAGTAACTTCTTCATTAATAACTGGTGGTGTTTAAGATTTTCATGACTTTTTCAACAAGAGTGAGATGTTAGGAAACTACACAAAATTCCCCATAGTCAGATTCATAGAAAGCGATATAAAATGTGAAATAATAACAATACAAGTTGATATAGCAACTGCAGACTTTATTTATGAAAGATAAAATACACAATGAAAAGACTATTAATGTTGGAATGTTTATTGTTTATGCATTTGCCTTTAATTATAGCAAGTAAAGCAAAACAATGTAGCACTCTGCATGCTTTTCTCCAAAGCATAAGTTTTATTTCTTATAATAACTTCTTCATTAATAACTGGTGGTGTTTAAGATTTTCATGACTTTTTCAACAAGAGAGAGAGAGATGTTAGGAAACTACACAAAATTTCCCCATAGTCAGATTCGTAGAAAGCGGTATAAAATGTAAAATAATAACAATACAAGTTGATATAGCAACTGCAGACTTTATTTATGAAAGATATAATACACAATGAAAAGACTATTAATGTTGGAATGTTTATTGTTTATGCATTTGCCTTTATTTATAGCAAGTAAAGCAAAACAATGTAGCACTCTGCATGCTTTTC